ACTCCTTTAGTTGAGAGAATATTCGTTGCATGGAAAGGATGCCATGTTTTCAAGGGAGCTCCGAAAGAATAAAAACAATTAGGTTTTTGATATATGTGTGTGTGTGTGTGTGTGTGTGTGTGTGTGTGTGTGTTTAGTATGTTGTAAACTAAATATGGATTTTTATTGATTAATAATTTGTTCAAGTTTCAATTCAAATTTTTATTTATAACTATTTGAATTGATTTTTAAAACTCATTTTTTAAATATTATTAGGATTTAACAGTTAATTTAATTTTTGGAGTTTTTATTGTTATTCCTCCTATTTCCTCACCACCTGTTCAGAAGCAGCGTCCGACGACGGCTCTCTTCCATCCCGTCACTTGTTCCCCAAAAGACAAAGCGTTGTCCATCAAGCCTATGCGCTTACACGCATATGAACAAAGCAGTTTTTAGGGCTATTCTATTCAACCATATAGTGGAATCCAATATCACGGCGTTGTTCTGTCCATTTTTAAGTAATAAGTTGACTTTTGAAATACGTCTTCTATACAGTACCCCCTACTGTTAAGAATTGTCAATAAAGAGTAGGTAATGCAAACTCGTTCTGGCGTTTCCCAAATATTTTAAAGGCACCATCGTTCGTCTCCAAATCATCGTTCATGTTTCCCAAATATTCTTCTCAAATCTCAATTATTCTGCGACTTTAACTTTGATTTGGGCTGGTGCCGTTGCAACTTTCCTGCCTCTTGGGGCTCTTTTCCATTCTCTGGTTTCATCAGTTGCTATTACCTTCTCCGTCTCTTAACCTGTATCAATCGCTAATCGCATCATCCTTTGAAAATTCCTATTTCTCCTTCCCATTTTATTACTTCCCTTCAGGAACCTTTACGACGACTTCATTTTCAGGTTCGCACGTGCCCAAGTGGAAATTCAAGTTTCATTATGACTTTAATTTCCTCGCCGCAATACGTTGAGTTATGTTTTCAACATCCACGAAGGCGTTGCCACACGGCCCCCGCCAGAGATAAATACGTAGCCAAGCAAACTATGCATGCCTCCATCAATTTGAATCTTCTAACTACACAAATAATTGTATTTAAAGTTAGTCCTGCTGGTAAGAAGTTACTCCCTCTTGTTCTTATTGAAAGATACTTTCAATCATTTTATAAATTTTAAGAAAAGTTAATTTTTTTCATATCTTAAAAAATGTTAAAATGTATAAGATCGTTTTGAACTTTGAGGTAACTGCATATGACTTTCCTTATTATTCAATATTTAAAATTAACCTCCTAACTTTTATTTTGATTTTATTTTTCAAAACCCCCTACTATAAATTAATTATTATTTTATTAATATAGTTATTGCCATGTCATATTAATGCAATACACATGACACATGATATAAAAAATATTTTTATTATTTTTTAACACAATTTAAGAAGGGGTACGATTATAATTTTTATTTTTAACACACACAATGATTCTCTTTTTTTTAGTTGAGTGATATTATTTTCATTGTTCACAAGTAATATGGTTTAAGAAAAAAATTGTCATTTTATTATTTTTATCAATTAAAATAGCCTTTTTATATTAAACAAGCAAAAAGAAAAATATCTAAAATATTTAAAAACAGGTAACAAAATGTTTATGATTCTTATCAATGATAATTTTTATATATTTTTCTTTTCACTTGTCTAATATAAAAGGCTATTTTAATTAATAACAAAACAATAATTATAATTTTTTAAAATTATTTTACCTGTAAATAATGAGAATAATATTGCTCAAATGAAAAATCATTGTGTGTGTTACAAATAAAAATTACAATTTCACCCTTGCTTAAATTGTGTTAAAAATAATAAAAATATTTTTTTCAAGTCATGTGCCATGTGTATTGTGTTAATATGACATGGCGATAACTATATTAATAAAATAATAGTTACTTAATGCCAATGGTAGGGGGTTTTGGAAAAACAAAATAAAAGTTCATGAGGGTTAATTTTAAACATTGAATGATGAGAGGGGTCATTTGCAATTTAAAGGGGTTGTATACATTTTAGTCTAAAAAAAATGAGATGTACTTCTTTTTTATCCTTAACTTTTAATAATGATATGACTATATTAAATACTTTGACGTTAATAAAAAATTATAAAATTAGAAAAAGTAGTTTAAATAAAAAGTAGTTTAAATATCACAAGATTACCTATATTTTGAATTAAAAATTACTTCTAGAAGGTATTTTACAAATAAGATCAGAGGGAGTAGCTCATAACTCATAAGGTCGTGAGATTAAATCTCGTTATTGATGTGAGGACCTTGTTAGTGGATAATTTGTAAATGCTCTAAGAGTTTGAAAACATGCATCTACTTTTGATTATAAAAAGAGAGCGAAATGAAAATTATAATTATGTAAAGATGAAAGTTGAATTTATCATAACTTGTTTTATTTTTCAAAGGGTGAAGGTGTATTTTTGCCTTTGAAGTATTCTACAAGGGGTGGCTAGCCTTAAACTATTTGGTGTAATATTTTCACCCCCTAAAGTAATTAAAAACTAGCATTCTCCACTTGATATTAAATACTCACGAACAAATATTATCCATTAGTTAGTACAACTATTTTCTCTCATAACATATTAATGGTCAACATCAATTATTTAACATTGGGGTAGAAAATTTCACATTTTAACTACTTTAAGAATAAAGATGCTACATTAAATAATTTAGAGTACTAAGTACATTTTGAAAAATACTTCAAGCATAAAAGTGCACCTTTACTCTCTTTTAAAATTATTTGGGTTAAAATCTAATTTTGGCCTTAAGCCTAATTATTTGGACTAACAATAATAATTTTAGCCCAAGTCCATCCAAGTTTTTTAAAAAGGAGAAAGTTATGAGAAAATTTGATCAAACAATACACCATTTAAGTGGAAGCAGAGGAAGTTTTGATAAAAATTGCAATTATTTATCCTAAAAGAGCATGAACTATGGAAAAAATTGACAATTGGTGAAGCCACACACACAATGACTTAAACTCTTTAACTTTTCAGCTCTACAAACACATTTTTTCAACAATTCTAATTGCTTAATGCAAAACTCATATTGACCCTGCATCATTCTTTACTTCTTCATCCAGTGTGACTTTTTTTATCTTTTAACAGATCTGACACAATGTCCTTAGCTTGCATCCAACAAAGAGCACTGAAATTTTCCAACAACTAATAGAGCACCAACTCTTAGCAGAACAATAATAATAGTGAGCCAATACTTTTCCTTTTAGTTGTTCATCTTTTATTTGTTGTAATTTCCTTTTTATCCTCATCAATACCATGTTTGCTTTTAATATGCAAGTCTTGCATGTTTTTCTATATTTATTTCTAAATTTGCTTTATTGTTAAATACTTCTATTCAAGAAAATTGTAATAAAGGACCTATGAAATCATCATTTGATTTTTTTTTTTTTTGAATAATAGCTGGACGCTTCATTCAAAAGAATGGAAACCAAAGGAACATACACAAAGACAAGTTAAGACTGATAAAACAAAATCAAAAAATCCACCCAACAAAACAAGCTAGCCAGGAGAATGGTCAAACAAGTTATAAACATTCGGAGGATCAAAGGCCAACACTCACCTTTTGATTTTAGAAGTAAAAAAACATGGCACTTTTTGAGTACAAAAACACCAACAACAAAAAATATATAATTTTTTATTTTTTTCGGATCAAACTGACATGCATTCGTAAAATGAAAATTACAAGAAAACAAATCAATTATCGTTCACTCCTCCTGATAAGAAAGGGGGAGAATGATCAAATTCATAATTTTTGATTGTTTAATACGAAAATGGAAGGGTCATTTAATGGAAGCGTTCTTCGACACGTAATTGACCTTAGCCAGTTCATGCCATGCCGCGCGATGGCAAGCAGGCAAGTTGCTGCCAGTCAGAAGTGCATAATTAATCTTACGATTTCAGATTTCTTATTTGAATTTAATGTCGTGTTGAACGATCACGTCCACTTGAGCAGCTGTATGCGCCTTTCTGAAAACTTTTTTTTTTTTTTGAGATTATCTTTCTCGAAATATTGAAGGCAAATAAACTTATTAATATTTGAATTAATTCTCGTCAAGAGATTTCAGTTTCTGGGAATTCGCCGTTTCCTTCCTGCAATTTGATGTAATTGTGTATACTTTTTTATACGCACGTTGAAACTATCAATTGCTTCAATGGTTGGGAGCCGACTATTGAGAATATCGACGTGTGCACACTTGATAATTTTAATTTGCTGGTCTTTTCTTCTTCTTCTTCTGTTTGGAGAGGATAAGTCAAGCTTGACTTGCGAATTGACCTTGAAAGCTTAATTTTAATTTATCTCCTCAAGACCTCAACGATGAGATTACAATATGAGATGAGACTTAAAATTTACAAAGAGAATTCTTTTCGAACATGGTTAAATGTAAGATGAGTCACGAGAGCATGTTAATTAACGGTTCACGAATTTAAAATGGTCTGGTTTAGATAAAAATAATAATTATTGTATAAAACTGCGCAAAAATGTATAAATTTCGGAATTGATCGCTAGAAGAATTAAAATTTAATTGTTTAATAATATGTTCATTTCTTCCCGAGTTAAATCACGCCGTAATAGTTGACGGCCGGTGATTATTTGCCAGTCCTGATTATAATGATCACGATAGAAAGTCGATATCAAGTGCCTTTTAAAATTGCCCGATTGTTAAATGTTTTACCCCAGTTTCTTCGATTGATACCCGTAGATTTTTTTACGCCCACGTAGAATACATTGAATACAATCCCAAATCTACGAATACAGAAACAAATATCTAACCTTGGGTTAATTAGTATATTAGTTGGAACAAAAAGTCTCTCAATTTTATGGCTTGCCTGTCCCCAAAGAGACCTTTCATTGTGTTTCAAATCACCTCACTCGTTTTCATTTGTGGGCTCCACAGTCTATATATATACCCCACCTATTCTCTCTTCCATTCCCCCACCGCTCCCGGTCCCCGTTGATTTCAATTTGAATTTCCCATCAAATTTTTAAATTCATAGCTAACGACCAGAACCTGTTTATTAAAATACGATGAGAGGCTTCTGCGTTCAACCCAGAACGTCGTCGTTCTCCGTTTCCCGTCATTCTCTGCCGTCGTCTCCTTATCGCAGCCCTGCTTCTAGTTTCGAAGAAGCTGAAGCTTTGATTCTGAAATGGAACGGCGAGACTTCTTCATATGCCAAAGTCACCTCTCTCTTCCACCACGACAAAACCGAGGCCACTCAGTATATCAAGTGCGTCAACCATCTCCACCGGCTCATGCACTCCCTGGACTCGCGACAACTCGTTCTCGCCCAGAACTTGATGCAGATGGCCATGAAGAGGCTTCAGAAGGAGTTCTACCAAATTCTCTCCATAAATCGCGCTCACCTGGATCCCGAATCTGTCTCTGTTAGATCCTCTCGGACCTCCATCAGCACCTCCGATTACGATGAAACTGATGATGGCTCGCCGGACCGCGAAATTCGAGAAGTAGGCGATTCGATCTCTGAAGTCGAACTGGTGTCTTCCATTGCCATGGAAAACCTGAGGTCGATTGCTGAGTGTATGATCTCATGCGGTTATTCAAAGGAATGTGCCAGCGTGTACGTAAGTATCAGGAAGTCGATCATCATTGAAGGCCTTTATCGTCTCAACGTTGACAAATTGAGCTCGTCCAAGATTCATAAGATGGATTGGGAAGCTCTCGAGTTGAAAATCAAGAGTTGGTTGGAGGCGGTGAACGTTTCGGTGAAGACGCTCTTCAACGGGGAGAGAATCTTATGCGACCATGTTTTTGGCGCTTCGCAATCCATTAGAGCATCTTGCTTCGCCGAAATTTCTAGTGATGGAGCCACTTGTCTGTTCCGATTACCCGAACTCGTCGCCAAATCAAAGAAATCGCCGCCGGAGAAGATATTTCGGATGCTGGACATGTACGCTGAATTATCTGCACTGTGGCCGGAGATCGAATCCATCTTTGCGTTCGATTCAACCTCTGCTATTCGATCTCAAGGGCTCACATCACTTACTCAGCTCAGCGAATCAGTGAGAACGGTGTTCTTAGAATTCGAGTCCACGATCAAAAAGCACTCTTCCAGGTCTTCGGTAAGCGACGGAGGCGTCCACCCACTGACAAAACAGGCAATGAGCTACCTCTCGCTTCTCACAGATTACGACAACACACTCTCTGACATGTTCGCCGGCTGGCCTTCTCTGCCAAATTTGCCGTTGCCATCGCCTCCGGAGACTTCCCGAGATAGTTCAGACTCCGATAACTCGTCAGCGCATCCTTCGTTCTCCGCGAGGATAGCTTGGCTAATTCTCGTCCTCCTTTGTAAACTGGACGGCAAAGCAGCGTATTACAAGGACGGTTCCTTGGGCTACTTGTTTCTCGCAAATAATCTGCATCATGTCATCGACAGAGTCCGCAACTCGACCTTGCAGACGGTCCTGGGCTACGAGTGGATAGTGAAGCACGAAGAGAAGATGAAATGGTTCGTAGCGAACTACGAGAAGGTGGCATGGGGGCAAGTCTTCTCGTCACTGCCTGAAAACCCAAAGGCGGCGTTATCGCCGGCGGAGGCGAAGGTGATGTTTGAGAACTTCAACTTCAATTTCGAGAAAGCATACCGGAAGCAGAACTCATTTGTGGTGGCAGATCGGACGCTGAGAGACGAAATCACGGGATCAATTGCGAGAAAAGTAGTCCCAGTTTATCGGGAATTTTATGATGCGCACAGGATTCTTGGGGGTTCGTGGAGAGAAATGAGAGAGCATGTCCCATTCACTCCCGAAGACGTGGCGAGTTACGTATCGAATCTCTTCTTTGCGAGGACGATCCAGTAGCACACCGTCGTCGTCGTCGTCCATAACAAACATCATGTCCTCCGTGCAGCATTCAGATTTCACAAACGTATTCCCTCCGATAACTTCATCAGGAAAAACCTGGTGAAGAAAAAGCATCACAGACTCGATTCACTAATTCTAAATAACCTGTGGTGAAAGCAGTTGAAATTCGTCAAGTACTAACATTTATGTTGGTTATGAGTAGTTGTTGCAAATCCAAAGATATATGAATCCAAAAGCTCGCTGTCTGTAATTTCAGAAGCATGCAGTTCTCGTTCGGTAACTTTTCCCAACACATCTAGAAGCGCACAGCTATCAGCATGTACGACGCACGACTTCTTATTCGGATCTCAACTCGTTTCTCTCAAAATGCTCCGGCAATCATCATCGATCAATATGCTCAATGTATTAAAAAAAAAAATTAATTAATGGTTTGTATGGAACCACATGGTCACGATGAACGGCGCAATTTTTGTCTTCCGTACAAATATGTTATTATTTCTTCCATTTATTTCATATGATTCTGTGTGGTTTTATTGATATATATTTTGAATTTTTTACACAGCTTAGAATAATTTAAACATTACAAATAAAAGTACAACATTTTAGTTAAAAAAAAACTAAATAATCTTTTATCCTGTACATCGTGCATAAAGACAGATATCAACGTTGCAGCACGAACGTAACCCTTTCCCACTAATCATATCAACAAAGATCGATGTGCTCAAATAAATTTTATAAGCGCACCCATTGCGCCTACTAGAGAAAAAACAAAAAAAAAAATCACAAATATTAAAGTAAACAGTATACCAAAAAGGACAAACCGCAATCAGTCGTCTCAAGCTCGTACCCTAAATATGCAGCTGTATGAAATATTAGTTGGGAGAGTTTTGCTGCTGGTATAGTCTTATTTAGTCGACCCATGAATAATGGGTAATTATATATTAAAAAAAGGACAAACCGCAGACGTTTATTGGAATTAGGATGGATATAAGAAACCAAGCTGTTGAGTTTATGCACACAATCAACTCACCATAAAGTCAATAAATCCCCGCCGCATTTATATACATACATATGAAGCAGACTAATTGGCTCATTTATCACAGAATTACTTGTGATCTCAGCAGCCAGGGGCGGGCTGATCTGGTGGCCGCGCTACACACTGCCATCCAGTGCAGTGATGAAGAAGCTGTTTGAGATCCTCTGTAGGAGGTGACACTGTCCATGTTGTATAGTGCTGACTGGGATGAAATGCGGTAGCTCCCACGCTCTTCGTCTCAGTCATCAAGCCTGCCTGAGTTCCACTTATGAACAAGTCTCCTTCAGACCATATGTGACCACTCGCTGCTGCTTCCTTGTCTCCTGCCTGCAACCATGTACACCATCTAAATAATTACCCAACTCATCAAATTTTCACATCTGATTGGTCAAGTGTCACTCAATTTTCCAGTGCAAAAAAAAAAAAAAAAAAATTGCACACTTTAGGTCGGTCTTTGAATTAGCCGATCAGCAGTTCAGCACACCAGGTTCCCCATTCCCATACCCGCTAACATAGACAGCTAAAAAATGGCCGTTCACACAACCAACACCTCAACCCAAATAAGAGACCAGACCAGAAACCAATGTACAGATGAAAGGGCTCCTAGTTATTAGAAACCAGATGAAGACAACAAATAGATGTGCAGATAATCTTGCCCATTGTCTACACTCCAGATATGGATCGTGCTGGGAGCTCAACCATAAATGGACGCATTCTGATCCAATTCCCCATAGTCACTGTCAATTTTGTGGTAAAATTGTTGGCTCCAAAACCAGCCACCCAGTTGCAAAATGTGAAAGAATTCCAGCAGATATGAAAATTGGAAAATACTACTTTTTGGCAAGGCCAAGAGATATTATAATTCGGTGCAGTTGAGAACATATTAATGGAATCGCATGTAAAGAACACAAGAGGAAACTTCAGATAGAGATTTCACACATACTAAGAAGTGATTTAGACTATAAAACAAGTAGTTTGGCCTCTAATACATTCAGTGTTGTAGTTGAAATCAACATAAAATCCACGGGCAAACTGAAAGCAAGCAATGAAGAGAACGTGGATGGATAAATCCCACTAAATTATGCAAGAAACAACTGTAGGTGCTCTGAAACCAAATGATGAAAAATATGGGCAAAAATAAAACTTCTTGATTATCTCAGTAACACTTCCACCTAAGGATAATAGCCAGAAAAACATAGATTTTGATACCTTTTCAGAAAGATACTTAAATGCTACTTTCTTCTGCCCTGCTTCATAGATGTTGCACTGTGAGAATATCTGTTATCAATGTACGAGGCAAATAAGACTTTTGCATATCCTTAAAGATTCAAAATTCATCATCAAGAGTAATTCCAATTGATTAACACATCATCACCTGTGACTCCACGCTTGCACAAACAGCATATATGCCCCAATTTCTGGTGTAATTGTTGTACAGGTGTACTTTTGCAAATCTTACACGAGGATGCCGCTGTCGTGTCCCATCAAAGAAACAATGGTGAATGGTCACCCTTATGCATCTATCACCAGTATGTGAGGGATCTGCGCCAATAAGCATCGTTTTGTCATGCTGAGAAAAATGACACCTGTAGATGGTCAAGGAACATTTGTTCAGTGAACAATAGAAAAGGCCAAATAATGAGAAATCTCAGAATATGCAATTTATCTAACCTAGAAATAGTAATATCTGTGCTTTCTCGTGTAATATCTATCAAGCCATCATCAAAATCACGGAGGCTACAACGATCTATCCATATGTGCTTTGAATTAGGCTTGATCTGAATGCCATCTACATCAGGTCCTCTACCACCTTCTAACTCTAAGTTGCAAATTATTACATGTTCACATTCCTTCAGCCGCAAACCCTTTCCAGTGAGTTTAATCCTTTGACCTCGGCCATCAATAGTCTTGTAAGATGACACATTCAGGTAAGATGAAAGATGAATAGTTCCGGAAACCTCAAATACAATCCACAATGGTTCTTTTCTGCGACAACCATCACGAAGTGATCCTGGCCCATCATCTGTGGTCAGAAAAACGACCAGAAGCATGTCAGAATAAAAAGTCCACTGCAATACCATATATCATGTGCGTCTGTCTCTCACTCTCACATATCAGAGACAGCAAAGAGCCAAATGGGACTTCAGTCTGTCGTCAAGAGTTACAAAAGTTGACGTATGGTTGATCATTCATATATTTTAGAACCAGAGCTCCCCTAGTCCTCACAGATCACAATATTTCCCAGGAAACTTAATTGTATGGGCAAAAAAAGCTTTATGCAAGAAAGTTCAAATCCTTCCGCATAGCAAATTGGAATATAACAACCCATGGTTAATTTTGTAAGAGAAGTCACGGGAAACCAATCATAAACATTGCAAGGCATTGCAAGATTCGAAGTCACAATGTGATGTCTAATCAAGAGAAGCAAGGAAAAGTAAAATGAAGAACCTAAAGATAAACTTGTTAAAAAAAAAAAAAAAAGATAGAAGAAAACTAAAGATAAACATGATAAAAACAAAAAAGGTAACAATTAATATCAATTAAACCCCAGATCCGCAAAACGGCGCGAAAGGCATATCTTAAAGACATGAAATCAAATGAAGAAGCGAAAATCAGAATTAGAGAGAACCTGCTAAGGTCGTGACGTGATAAAGGGGACCATGAAGCCCACCAATGGCACAGCCACCAAAGCCTTCAGCTCGGGCGGCGAGAGCACGCAAAGTGGAGTCGACATGGGAATAAGGTAAGAGAGCATTCCGGCGATGAAGTGGCCGTGAGAGGAGGAGCTGAGATTGGGATCGGAAGGTGAGGCGGAGCAGCGTATATATAGGACGGTGGTGTGGGGTAGTTGATCGGAGTTACGGTGTTTACGATGGCCGACTGAGTTCCCCATTAATTGGCAGCCACACGTTTTGTTCGAATTTAGAAACTGAAAATGAAATCTAAACGAAGCAAACGCTTCTTTCTGTGTCACTGCAATCCAAACTGCCGACACTCCTCTTCCCTTCTCAAAGAGTTATTATCGCCCAAAAATCAAACTACAGTTTCTTTTTTGGGTCAGAATCAAGCAACAGTTCCAGAGATGAAGCGATCGTGGCCGTTCACCGGCACAGGTAGTAAGGCATCCTTCCAGAAAAGAGAATGGATTTGTTATTATTTGTTATTATGATTTAGGATCCTTACCTTGTCGGTTCAAATTTGCAATGGCCATTGTTATATGAGGAAATACCATATATATAATATATATATATATAAAATAAGGGGAGAATCATAAATAATATTATTAAAATAAAAATAAAATATTTTTCAAATGAAACTTATTGTCAATTCACGTCTATGAATATATTTTTTTTTTGCAAGATTCTTGAATGTGATTCTTTCAAAAATAAGTTTTTATTTTAAAATTTTTATGTTGAATATGATAATCCCACAGTGTATAGGAGTTAATTTCAATCATATATATATTTAACACATCTAAATCAAATTATGATTATGCTCTATATTTTAATTATTTAATTACGTATTTTTAATAGTTATTTATTAGATTTTAAATTTATAGTTTCAACTTTATATTCTCATTATAAATTTATTCAAACTTACCAATTTGACAACTTTTGTTATGAGGAGGTACTTATGATTTATTAAAAAAATCATGATTGTAAAATCTCTTGGATGGACAAGTAAGATTACTCTTATTAGTCCACCCTTAATCTTCCAAAATTGAGGTAATTATCCAAAACTGTAGAATTTCACAATAGGAATCTCAAGTTCACAATTTAAAATATTTTCATACAATTTTACATTCACGAATCAGAATTTAAAATTTGTGTGGAACATGAAAATTAAAGAAAGAATCAAATATTTACATATAAATTTCAAAACAGTGAACTATGCAAAAAGTAGCACATGAGCTGTGGCTTACTATAAATGAGTCACAGTGTGTTCGCCTCTATGTCATGCGTTGTAGCACATTGCATGAGTTTGATAGCACCCAAGACAAGCTTCTGATCATCTCATTTCTCCCTCCGACGTTCAATTAAAGCAATCTAAGTGTTTACAGCGACTTTTCTCCTAATTCTAACTAATGGCACAAATTTCACGATCAAATTATTTTTCTATCAAAAGTTGGACATCATTTACAAAACTCACTTCTTTTTCACAATTACTCACAATTATGGTACCCAAATCACAATAAAAGTGTCAAAAGCTTACATCAACCTTTAGACCATACTCAATGGATCAATTTAAACTCGTGTAATACACCACAATCAAATCAACACATATATATCATAAATTCACCACTCAACCCACTTGCTTCACAAAATAAAAAGGGGAGGTAATTTTGTAGAAAATTATTAGTATTCAATCATTGACCACCAAATACATTTTACCCTACTTGCACTAGTATTTCGGCTCTAAACAAACTTTACAACCACAACTCCCTAACTTAGGATATAAAATACACAAGGTATTCTCAACTATAATGCAAGTAGACAAAACCATGGAATAAAATCCTAATTGAAAAATTAATAATATTTAATACACATAATTTAAAACTATAAGGCCTACAAGTAGGATTTACTCAAAATCCTATGCCTCCCAGTCATTTTTCCTATCCTAATCTCATGAGCTAAGTCCTGAAAATATTGAAGAATAAGGGGTGAATATAATCACTCAATAACCAATATCAATTTAGCTTATACAGTTGCATGTCAATTAATTATGGATGCAAATGACAATAAATCAAGATCACATACATATATATCAAATATAACATCGGCATAAAAAAAAACAACCATGTGACTAGGCGTGCAACACATATTATCTCATATAATCAAGAATGCACATAATGGGATTGTAATGATGACAATCATGCACCCTCTAAAACACATCGAACTACAACGACAATAACCATGTGGCTGAAACTATAAATGCATGATAAATGCCAGCCTTATATCTTTTTGTTACCTCTAACATAACACCAGTGGCTATCAATGGCTAAGTCTGTATCTTGAACTAACCCAACTTTTCACTTGTGAGGAGTTACTGGGCTATGGTTAATTTACTCACTTGTGTCCATAGTTTGCCCCCGATACTAACAACTGTGGGGTGTCGTACCCCTAACCTGGCCTTCTCATGAACTGATGGAGACTAGTTCGGTTTGAGTTCCTCTTATAACAAGTGGGACAATCCTAAATCAACCATGGAACATTAGCTACCTCCCGATTCTAACGATTGGTGCCAGGGCAAGCTTATAATTCCAACGATAAGTCACTAGTACCATCTGGATTTACTAATCTACTCCTCTCTCTAGGTGAAACTCCCACTAATGATCATGCTATGCAATAATAATAAGTTTGTGTGCCATGCAACACACATTAACCACATCATAACGTGTTCTCATAATTATCTTTCTCTAGCATATTCCACATACAAATATCACACAACAACATACTCTCCATCCTCATCATTTATCACATATATATAGGTATACATTTTGCTTTTAGCAATTTAATACAACTTCAAACAATTCTACGTTTGCATCAATGGTTTTCAAAATACCACACAAGTTTCAAACAATTAAATTTAACAAATAATTAATTAATAAACAACTATACAAACTAGATTTTTTCCCAATTACTTTAAACTTTTGATATGTTAAAGATTTACTTTCAAAACACAACTTCCAAAGTTTTCCAACTAGTTTGAATGGTACCAAAATAGTTAATTTACAATTAATTCAAAGATATCCATTAATACTTCAATTTGAATAATTTCCAACACTGACCCATTACTTCAACTCATACAATAGTACAATCTCCACTTCACATCATACCTATTAGGCTTACTAAGTTCTAACAACCCATAATGACATAAATGAACCATTAAACCATAATTAATGGCTCCAGCACAACTCTAACAACCATATTTATTGTCATTTTTGGATATTAATGACCCTCAACAACCAACAACTCACAAAATCATTAATTTGGAGTTTAAATATTTTAACTCACTCCTATTATTTATGTAACTCACTCCTATTATTCATGTTTTAGCCATTGAGTTTGAAGCCATAACTCATATAGACTGAAAATCACTCTCTTAACTTAAATCCTAACTTTAACCTTCATGAAAATGGAAGGAAATGGGAGAAAAAAAACATAATACACTTATCTTGGGTGTTAGGAAGCCCCAAAATATCTCCAATGATCATCAAATTTGTGCTCTAACAAAGGTAGTGGCTTGCTCATGTTTTCCCTTTCCTCCTCTCTTTAGATTTTCAAACAAAATATGAATTGGTTTAAGCAGTAAATTGGCCGTGCGCCATGATGTACATAGCCCATACTACAACGCATGGTATAGAGAGCCCCATCCTTTGTTAGTTGCCTTTGTGCGTCATGGCAGATGTCCCTCATGCCATAACATGAGAGGTAAAGGATCTTCTTCAATTCTTTCTAACCTTTTAATGCTTGAATAGTTTGACTTTACTTCGGACCCACATTTAGAACTGAAATCACAATCAAACACACAGACCACACACCACATCAATAAACTTAATTACCCTTATTAAGCTTAACTAAATCCTAATTAGTTTTCCATGATGTTACAAGGATGAGAAAAGAAAATTATCCCTTCAAAATCACTCATATCACAACATTACGCTTAAAAAATTTAAAAGTAATCATTGTAAGATTTTATGGATTTAAAAAGTCCATGTAAGTTTTCAAAACTTGACAAATCTTTTAGGTTAAAGAGTAAAAATATCTAGTAACTTTTTTTTCAAGAGTATCCAGTATGTTTAAGTGAATAAAAGTGTAAGAATACACATAAACTTATTATAATAGGTAAAACAATCCCCATAAACTTTTTCAATAAACTTTTAATATCTTTAAGTCAACAATAATATATAGGTATTTATTAACCTTATAAGACTATATAGCTAAGCCTAGTCTTAAAAACTCGAGTCTTCAAGCTTGTCCAAATACTCAAATTGTTAAGTGTTTTTTATTTTATTTATACCTTTCTAATCAAGTTCATTTTTTATTTTAGAAAATTAAGATTTTCAATTTTTATCTAATTTTAATTTTATTGTATTAATAATGAAAAAGAACTTGGGTTTTTGGGGTAAGCCTATTTGGGTTTAAGCTTGGCCTAGTTTTTTTTAGCTTATTTGATCCGAATAATTCACTAGTAAATAAAAATTTATAAAGCCTTAAGTATGGTCTTATGATTTTTTAAGCTTATTTGGATTGGCCAGTTAGGCTTGACCCAAATCATTGGCTTAACCAACTAGAAGATGTTAGCCTATTTTATAAAATTAAGAGTATCTGTTTACCATTATTAAACTTTAGGATACCTGATGCTCTTAGAGAAAAAATTTATGGACAATTTTTTATCTTATATATGATTCTTTTTTTTTTACTATCAATATTAACAAACATTAGTCAAATTTAAGAGAATGAGAATTGTTGCACCCATTATAATAAGTTCACGGGTATTCTAGCATATTTGTTCTCAAAGATACTAAATGCTCTTGAAGAAAAAGTGGATAAGTATTCTCCCAAACCCAATCTTTTACATCCAAACAGAAATTAGTGTTCCAAAAAAAAAAAAATGAAAAACTCAATGTAAAATTCAGATGAAATTTTTTATTATCAAAGTCATATTAATTTAAAGTGTAAACAAAAGAAAGAGAGCGTTATTTAAATATTCATCATATCCCAAAATATCATTTCATTTAGATAATAAAAGGGAGAAAACTAGGGGGCAACTGAAAAATTGGCAGTCAAATTCTATTTCAGTATTAGTTTATTTTGGAAAACCCATTCTTGAGCAATATCCGACTTCAATGGCAGCA